GTATTTCACTTTGAAACGTAGATATCTTAAAAGAACTCAACATGGACATTCAAATTAAATGTCATTTCTGTCAGGCTTTCCTGACTTGGTGTTTTTCTGAGAGGTTTGTTTGACTCTCTGAACTTCTACTCACAGTCAAATATTTTTCATTAGAGACAGAAACAGGTGTCTGTCTAAGCTGGAACAAGATTTCAGCTTCTGGTTTAGGTGTACTGATGCCAAGGGAAATCACTGCTCAGCTTTCATTATTTCTTCTGCCCATAAAACATCTTAAATCCCAACTGAAATCTGACCTTGCCAAAAAGTGGATGCAATTTTGAAACAGCAGGTCTCAAATCTGCAGGGATTTCCTGGGAGAGCTAATTTTAATGACTTTGATGTGAATTTCTCTCAGGTTGTGCAGTCAGCAGAAGAGAATGCTGTCCTGTCTGCCCAGCTGAAGACTCTTTCCCAGACTCTGAGGGACAACCAGCTCCATTACACTGATCTGCAGAATCGTTACGTGAGGCTGGAGAGGGAATATCAGGCAATGCAAGTGACATCTTTCCAAGGCTCAGTCCAGGTAAACAGATACATGGAAAGGTTCTTTGGTTTCTTCCTTCTGTGCTTACACTTTTCTGGTTTTCTTGCTAAAAATGAAATAAAGTACTTTTTGTTGTAGTGACCCAGGGTTTTTCTGGCCCGTGACTGAAGATAACTGTCCTTGTTGTTGTTGTTAAGCTGCTCTAATTTGACTTTTCATTTAAGGAAGCTGTTTTATGTATTGTTTTGTTTTGAAACATCTTTTTTGAGTTGGTCCGCAGCTGGCAGAGATAACTAGATGATCACTGCTCAGTGGATCAGGAAATTTAGTGATAGTTTCACATCAGTTGTAGATCACTTTACAATATGGAGTAATATTTTTGGAAGTGAGATCTACATCACCAGTTCAGCATTTCAGAACCTTTTGCCAACACCTCATACACATCTGTTAGATTATTATTTGGGGTTGGAACTTGATGATTTTTAAGATCCCTTCCAACCCAGTCCTTTATGATTCATCATTATTCCTTTATTCTTAAAAAGCTTTCCTGTACTGCTTTAGTTATTCATTAACAATCATTAAGAGAACATCCTGAAATAGCATATGAATACATATAGAAAACAACCCTTGCTCTCCATAAATGGAAATAAATCCAAACAAGAACTGTAAATTAAGAATAAATTAATAACTGTCTTGCTTCTGGAGTTGTTCATGTGTAGATGCATTTCTTTTCCCCTCAGACATTGTTGAGAGTTGGAAATGAAAACATTAAGTGGCACAAATAATTATCCATTCCACTGTTTTGTGGTGCCATGGATTCTGTACTTGAAATAAAGACTTCTGGCAAGTAGAAAAATGGTCACTTGTTTGGTTTTTTTTTTTCCCCTTAATATTTTCTAGGATGAAACGAGAGCAGAAGTTCCCCCTGGAGCGCCACGGGAGAGATCTGGGATTATTGTGGAGACAGACAATATGGAGCTAAATGAGCTCAGGAAAAGGTCAGGACTCAGAGCATGTATTAGCAATATTATTTTCCTGACAGCTGTGTTGTGAGTGTGAAAGTAATGCTTTTCTATCCCTCTGAGGCATTTGTGTGGAGATGGAGAAGGAGTGGATTTACAGTGGATTACATGAATCATAAGCCATATTCTTGAATTGTTATCATCTGGTAATACTTGTGGTTTGTATCTGTACATAAATATACTGATTATTGGTGGCTTTAGCTCAATATTTAAGCTGAAGCATCTCATTATAATTAAATCTGTTGCTAAAAGGAGATCTCCTAATAAAAAAAGAACAAGTAAGTAATTTTTTGAGTCCATGAAACATTGATTTCAGATTTTATTTTCTCCCAGGCTTGCAGAGTCTGAGCAGCAGTATGAGTCAATGCAGCAGAGTCTCTCCCAGCTCACAGAAACACTGGCAGAGGAGAGGAGGAGGAGAGAAGCTGCAGAAGAGGCTCTTGGACTCTCTGAGGAGAGAAGTAACAGGTAAAACACAGACTATTTGTTCACCTTTTATTTTTGGTGAGATTACTGAGAGGTTTTCCTGTTGATCTTTGATATTTTTTTTGAGATACTCCTACTACTAATAATAATAATAATAAACAACCTGTGTGTGAGCCCACAGTGCCTGAAGTAGTGAAAATCCATGTGTTAAAAAGCTAAGTTAAACACTAGATCAAAAAAGTGTTATAGGCTTTGGGATTTTTTTTCTTTACATTATTTCATCTGTTAGACTGTTCATTTGTTAGTAGTCGGTGCTATTTCTTTTTTTCCAGGTTATATGGGAAAACAATTTCTATCTTAACAACTTTAGCAGAGCCACTGGTTAGATTGAAAATATCATTATGCACCTGCATAAATAAAGGGTCCCTCACTACCATCACCTGAAAGTCACTATTCAGTCAGCTGGTGATGGTGGGGATTAATTCTGAATAAATGAAGCACCTTGAGAGTAGATTGTAAATAGAGACTGAAAAAGAATTGGCAGCATAAAGTGAGTCAGCATTTTGTGGGCACCTTCCCTTACTCATTTTAAGTATGCAAAATAATAGCTTTTGTGTCAATTCAGTACTTAAAAGAGGAGATAATTCAGCAGTGCCTGTCTCTGTGCCTTGAATTTTTCTCTAGATTTGAAGTAGGCAGTTACAGGTCTGTCCCCAGTGACTACACTGTCCAGATGGAAGATGAGGAGGAGAGGGAAGCCTTAATTATCAATCCCAGTGAACACGTTGTTGTGAGAAAGGTAAGGGAATGAAAGCCTTTAAAAACCCTCAGCTCCTTAAAGGTGTGGGAAAACATCTTTCATTTCTTTCTGTGGGGGCTGTGAGTCCAAGACCAGCAGGTGTGGAAACCCTGCCAGAAAACACACTGCATATGTCCAGGTTAAAAACTGTATGTAATCACGTTTATGCTACACGTGTGGCCATTAAATAAACTCTGCATTTCATTATGCATGCCCAAAATGCAGTATGCATGTTAGTGTGTGGAGTTACATAATACACAGCTTGGATTTATCCCTTTCCCCTCATTAATGCTGGGTTTGGGGCATTTCAACCATTTATGCTTTGGTATTTGGCATCATTTGTGTTTGGGGTCGGTTGCTGTGTCAGACACTAAAGGTTTGTAGTGCCTCAGAAATCTGGTTTGTATTCCTGATTCTTCCTCTGATAACTTTTGTCTCTTCCCCAGATGAAAGGAGGAGCCCTTTCCTTGCGCCGCTGGCTCCGGGGGCGAAGCCTTTACTGCTCCAAGCTGCTGACGGCCCGAGCCAAATCCCGCTATTTATTCCTCACCTACCTGGTCACACTACACCTCCTTGTTGTCCTGTGCCTCACTGGTGTGCTCTGAATGCACTGCCCTCCCTGGGAGGCTCCTTTCCCTGTGGGCAGTGCCAGCCCTGAGGCTCCTCACATGCTGCTCTTCTGCTGTGCACTGGACACAGTCCTACAAATCCCTGGGACACTGCACCCAAACCTCGAGCTTCTCCAGTGAAACTCCTGCATATCACACTTGCTCCAAAGTTGACTTGAATTGCTCTTTTACAGTGGGATATTATATTTGTAAGGAGAAAAAATTCCCCTCTGCCCTATAAGGAAACTGCTGCATACAAGTTATTTAATATCGTTTGTGGGTACATAATGGTGGATTACTACTGAATGGGTTGTAAATGATATCTTTTCTATACAAATTTTATTTTAAGAGTTACACTATAAATTCTAAAGGAATATCAAACTATTACTGTATATTGGCTTCTTGATTATAACAAGAAGTTTTATGGAGTGCAATAAAGGAAGAACTACTGGATTTTTGATTTTCTTTGGTTGGTTAGGTGGTTTTTCTTTTTGTTTGGGCTGAAAACAAAAGAATTAAGAAGGTTCTTTCCCATTAAGTTTGTAAAGAAACCAAGATGCACAAATCTGTGTGTGGTAGTGAGGTAAGCTGATGATTAAAGATTCAGTATAAATTCACAATTGAGGGAATATAAATATTTCCAACTTCTTATATTCTTTTTGTAATTTTTTAGTTTTCATAAGTTGTGGAGGGTTCAGTATTTTTTAAATTCACTTGCACTTCTCTTGGTGAAGCTTAGTTACTGCCTGTCTCGGAGGCAAAATGTTACTCAGCTGCAGAACACATGAAATTCAAGCTTCTAAAGACACAACCTTACATATTTTACATATTTCAGCTTCGAGGTACAAATCAATAAACTCAGCTAAGAATCTTGTGGGAAAAGGAAAACCCAGTGAATATGGAAAAGGAAGGATTCCATCGGTTTTACTGATGAGCAGAAACAAGGTTGACTTGGAGATATTTTAGTGAAGTGATTTATCTGCTAAAGAGGTAGTTACTGCTGCAGGTAAATACTGTAAGCCACCTTCTTTTGATGGTCTTTAATATTTCTTAGTCTGGTAAAGGTGTAGATTTTTACATAAATCAAATATATTCTGCTATAATTGATTTTTTAAAAATAGTGATGGTTCATCTCCTTGAGTGGCTGATTCAGTCCCTGTGTTCAGCCCTGGTGTCACCCAAATACTGAGATAACTCATAAACACCAGGTACAGTGGGAACCTGAGTACTGATGACAAAAAAATGGGTGTTAGCAGAATGGTAATGAGCTTTTCTTAGCTAATTATGTTACAATGAAGCAGAATGTTTTCCAAAGGCAACAATGGCCCTTCAGTCCTTCCAGTCTTACTCATCCAGTGGAGGGATTTTTGACCTGGGGGGAGAGAAAACAACCCTCTGTCCTGAGGCTCAGTGAGTGGGAAAGGATCCAGAGGTGTTTGAAATTCTGTCCTGCTTTCTTCAGGCCTTTGTGCTGTCACTGTGATAGGCACAAACTGGGAAAAAAGTCAAGTGGCTTGACAAATGTAGATATCCTGTGAACTTCATGCCAGAAGCTGATAAAAATGTATTGGGAGGTGAGCTCATGTCATTTAGGAAGCAGCTTTTCCTGGGTAAGTATTGCCCTGAGAGTGTGCTCATGCTACAGTTCATGATTTAAATGCTTGGCTTCACTTGGTCTGAGATCAAGCAAATTGAGGAAATTTGTTTAAAATTCTTTACCTTCAAATTCCAGTGTTTCAACTGATGCAATTCCTGATGTATTTAAGACCTGAATTTCCCTCTGGTTTGTGATGTTGGAGCCACTCTGGGTGCAGTGCTGTAATGTTGGATACTGCTGGTAAATAATGGATTTATTGCGGTCCAAAGCCTTTTCCTGAGGGTTTTTGGAGAAAATAATTCATGGCAATGTGAATGAATGTTCAAACCCACCAGCTACTAGGACTAAGGGATAATCATTCCCACAGATGATTCCCACACTAAAGCTCTTTCCAAATTTGTGTGATAAAATCAATTTTTGCCTTGCTGGGGACAAGAACTTTGCTGGACAAGTGCTGCTTTTCATTCCTTTCCCATTTCTGAAGTAACTTTCCTTACAGAGTGACGTTGCCAAAGAAAGGAAAATAAAATCTTTCCCTTCTATGAACTGCCTGAAGAGGTCCTAAAAATAGCCCATAATAACCCTTGGGGAGGGTTTTGCCATGAATTTCAGGGAGACCTGGACTTGGTGGTGTTGGCCAGCCCCTGAAGCTGAGGTGTTCCTGTGCCAGCTGCCTCTTGTTCTTTTTCCCAGAACAGGCACTTCCATAAAGTGTTTGCCACTTACTAATATGGAATAGGTCCTGCAGTGAGCTCTCCACATTACAGAGTGGCTGCCACTTAAAAACAAATGCTTCCCCAAAACTTTTGCTGGGGGTTATTTTTAGTTGTTTGAGATTGATGATTACCCTAAAAAAAAAAAAATCCCAACAAAAACAAACCCATCACATTTTCACATTTCAATGTTCCATGAGGGAAAACTGCAGTCTTTGAAGTAACAGATGTTTTTGGTGGTTTATTTACCATTAACTACTAATGATACAGCTGGTATGTGCATGCAATTAATTAATTTTAACCAAAGGAACTTTCTAGAAGATAATTTTCCCTTGGGAGAGGTGGGATTTATGCTTAGGTCCCAGTAGAGTGAAGTGTGTGTCCCATGGCTGAGCTTGCCCATGGTCATGAGGTCAATTAACAGGATCACAGGACCCTGGGGGCTGCAGCAGGAGATTTCCCCTCTGGAAGAAACAAGAGGCTGCCAATGTCCTGATTGATTTGCTTTGTGAAATCCTATTCAAGTGGGAATTTATGTGGATACTTCACATACATGGTAAGATCCGTTGACTTTGCTGGTTAGGTTTATTCTTTCCCAAAAATGTTGTGTTTTAATGATATGAAGGTGTCTTAGGGAAGAAAAGCCCCACCTGTTGGAATGTATTCATAGCATGAGTCAGATTTTGATTTTTCTGGGCTGTCAAAACTCTCCCCTGAAGTTCTGTGTGGTGAATAACATTTTACCTCATATGTTGTGATATTATTTGGGGCAATCATGACAGACTTCCTAATGCAAATGTGATAAACTTAGTAAAATCAGTATTCAATAAGTGCTTTTTCTTTTAGATGATCTCTATCCCCTTTATATTAATGAGTTTTTCAAAACCATTTGACTTACACCAAGGGGGAGCCTCACTGTTAAAAGGCAAAATAGTGGAATTGATTAGACAGAGAGAGCAACCACATAAGTGAATCTAGAGAAATTATATCTTTTCCACCTCTAATTCCTTCCCTTTATTCCTTTGTGCAGTGCCAGGGGACCCATTCCTTGTGGAGAACCATGATTTTGTTGATGCTCACCTTGGCTGGGCACCTGTGTGAGCACAAGCAGCACTTTTTTAATTTTTGAAGCTGCCTTGGTCTTTCTGGAGGGTTTATGGAAGGAATTATTACAAAGTGGTTACCCACAAATTCACATTTTAGTTCCTTGCATGTTTTGGGGGTGCATTCTGTGAGGGCAGGAGCAGGAGCAGTATTTCACAGGAAGTTTTAAGTTCAGAATGGTATTTTGTCCCTGATGTTCCTGACAAACTGCACTAATATTAGAATAATGTCCTTTACAGGGTGTTATGGTTGGAATGGGTCAAAAATACAGCAACGTAGGGGATGAAGCACAGAGCAAAAGAGGCATCCTGACACTGGAACATCCCACTGAGTGTGGAATCATCATTAACTGGGATGATTGGGAAAGGTGGGTGTTTTATTTGTTTTTATATTTACACATACTTGGCAGTCATGAAGTTCCTACTGAGGCAAAACATTTGACAGTGACAGAAGCTAAATTTTTTTTAAAAAATACAGGTTGCAATTCATCAGAGGTGAATTGAAGAAATATTCAATTACTGAAATTGGAACCAAAGCCTGGGAAGTGCAGGGTGGGAGGGTTATTTTCTCTCCTTAGAACTGACCTACATGAGCAAGAGGGTGGATGGTGCCCACATCTCACATTCCATGTGACATTCTCTGTCACTTCCAGAGGAAAGGACAGACTGGGGCTTCCTATCCCTATACTGATCCTTTCAGAGGGGGATTTTCTTTTTCTTTTTTTTGAAGCATGTTTTTCTGTTGCCAAAAGTTAGCATTTCATGTCTGGGTGGTCAGAAGGCATCTTTATTCCCCATCCAGCACCACTTCTTGGCACTGTGCAATGAGCTCTGGGGGAAATGCAACTTCCAGGATGTTCCAGGGCCAGGCAACAAAGTGTGCCTGTGGCAAAAGCTGCTAAATATCTTAAATATCCCAAGAGTCCTGGTCTCTTTGGAAATTATCTGGCTCTGTATGTGGAAAAGACTGTAGTGTTTGGGGGGAAGCTCTACAGGGAAATGCTCCTGGTACTGTTTTCCTGTAGAAAATGCTGCTGAAAGGGAGATTCAGGGCTGGGTTGCTCTGTGCTCTGCTTGCTAGGATGAGGTGCAGTTATAACCCAGGTATCTGACCTCAGTTACTGTGCCATATCCAAGCTGGATATGGACCCAAGCTGTTCCAAATGAACAGACCAAAGTTGATCCAGGAGCAGTGGGAGTTCCTCAGTTGATATGTGGAAATAAATTGCCCACTCACTCCACTAGATGGAAGCACAGTACTTGGATTTCATTCTCTCCCTGCTTCCTGCAAGCACACTTTTCTAACTACATCCCGTTATGTTTTTCTACCTCAGAATTTTCCTGCTGCCTGCATTCAGCAAGAAGTAACATTTTCCTGTAGGGAAAAAAAAAAATCAAATTTTAGGCTCATATTTTATGTTCCTTCATCTGCATCTGGCAATTGTCCTGTGCACAGCACACATCAGTGCCTGTTCCTTCTCTGGGGAATGCTGGGTGCAAGAGCAGCCCATCTGAAATTGAGTTAGAAGAAGGAATTAAGGAAGGTTAAAAAGGTGCAATGTGCTTTCCTGTAGTGTGGTTGTTTTTAGGGTGTAACGTGGTGGAGGCCTCAGGCAGTGCTGTAACTCAAACAATGGTCAGGTGCTAAATGGGCTCTTGCAGCTCAAGCTCTCCTTCTTTTTGTCTCTTGGATGGAGGAATTACTTGTGGAAGTGGCTGGTAGGGAAAGGGACGAGAAGCAGAGTTTATAACTGTTGTAATTACTCCAAATAAGAAAAAAAAAAGGGTGATTTGGATCCTTGTGTGATTTTGATTCAAGCCACAAATTTCTTCCCAGTGTTTGGAAATCCTACTCCTGAAAGCACCAGGATGTGGAGGAAACAAGAGAATTCCTGGGTAATGTGCCAGAAACGGGACAAAAGCACAGCAGTGCAGTGCCCAGCCATCCACAGGGTACAAAAGGGGGTCCCCAAAGACTGAGGCTGCATGTGTGAGGGGGAGCAGGAGTGGGAATGGTGCAGTGTGGGAATCAGAAAAATAGAAACTTCCACAGACACTGAAGGGTTGAATTTGCAGCCTTGGGAGAAACTTAGATTGATGTAAAAATACAATACACAAACATTTAGCAGAAAAATCATAAACTTATGTTTCTATGGTTGTAAGAATATGCCTTAAGTAAGAAACTGTATTGATAAGATGGTGAAGTGTTTATAATGTAGGGGTGGGGTTGTGTAGAATAAGCTAAGAGTTTAGGAGTTATAACAGAAGTGTATGTGTGCATGGGAGACAGAAGCCTGTTAGACAAAAGTATCCACAGTGCAGCAAAGGAAGTAAAGGTGACAGGTTAGAAAAACAAAATCAACCCTGTAACAACTGTCTATTAAGTTAGAAAGTTATATATTGCCTTATAACCAAGAAACTTGTGACTACCCTTGAGCTATAGCCAATGGCTTATTCCTTTAAAGTCTCACAGCCTCTAAGGCTGATTTATCTGAACAATAAATCATTCTTAACCTGAAAAGATCCCATCCCTTCATTGCAAAGGACAGCAATGATAATGTGGGATGCACAGGGGCTGTGGGAATGGAGGAGGAGCACAGGCAGCCATGGAATGGAGCATTCCTGCTCTCCTGGGCTTCAATTCACAATATTCCAGCTGGAAAAGAGCACAGGCCATGCTCCATCCCTGGGCATTTGTTGCCAGGAGCTGACAGTGGATGGCAGGGGAGGTGTGGGGACCCAGAATTTTCTGGCACTGGTGACAATGTAAATGTTTAATAGAAATGCTGGGATCATTTGGGATGTTTCCTCCTCAGTAATTTCTCTGTGCCAGTGTGCTTGCTGCTCGCATTTAATTCTCATGACCTATAAAATCAGCACTGGATTGTTTTGGTTCCTGTAGAGTATAGCTATCCATTAACACTCTGGTTATCATTAGGTCAGATTTAATGGGCTGTGCAGGGCCTGATTGTGCCTGGTTTTGAGGGAAAACCTGGGGACTGCCACAGTTTTAGGCAGGCTCCTGCTTTATGAGTCCAGGTCTGTTCCTCACTGCTAAAGCCACCCATACTTTGGGAGTTATGTAAGCACAGAGGTTTCCTTCTCTTCCCTCATTTCTTTCCTGTCTGAAATAGCAGTAATTTTCTTCTTACATCTGATTTATGGGTATATATTTTTTAACTTTCACATAACTGGTTTCTGGTTTATTCAGCTTCTCCCTACATTTGTATTTCAAACCTTCAAATGAAGGATGGCCTGGCATCCCAAAGACCAGTTCTGGAAACTTCTAATTATTTCTTTTCCTTAGAAGGTTGATATAGAACTGAATTGTTTCAAACAGCTGGTGATTTTAATGAATAACTCCAGCTCTGAACAGATGTTGATATTGTAGGTGCTTCAAATTTAGAGAGGATCTCTTTTCCATTCAAGTTCATTTTGGGGAATAATAATACTTGTTTCTAGGGTATAATACTTGTTTTTAGGATATAGATATTCTATTCTTCAAATAAATTTAGCCATAAAACTATCCTGATGTTTTCTGTTAGGTCAGGAAAAAAATGAGCTCAAAAGAGAATAAACACCAAACCCAGTGAATTTGGTTGAATTTGGTGATGTGAGTTTGGCAGATTTGCTTTTGCATGCTTTCTGTCTATTTTAATATGGCTGTAAAAAGGTGAATAAAAATTTTAAAAAGAAATTATTTCTATATTATAAAATATATTCCATGTATCAAAATTTATTATTATTTACTATAATTTAAGATATTACTTACTGAAAGTAATTTAATAAAAAATATATTACTCAGGCTGTATTTGAAAAACTTATGGCTTTGGGGGGAAAGTCCACATGGTAAATTTAGCCAGGGATAGCAGTAAGTGTGATTTAAATACAGAATATAGGTATAGAATCACCTGGGGAAAAGGAGATGTGGCTCTGCTCTTCCCTTGGCGCCCACTTTTGTTGTATGTTTAATTGGAAGATTATGCATCCATCTAGCAACAGTGTAAATAAATTAATTAAGTTGTGAGCTTGGCAGCAGGAGTGGCTGGGAGGGAATACAGCTGGGAGATAAAAACCAGCAGCAGACCATGAGAACAGCCCAGTTTCCAACAACAAGGAGGAAGAGCTCCTACAGGAGACGTGTCTGGGGCTGCTTCTCTGTCATTACTCTGCAGTGCTAAACCTGGGTTTCAAGATGGTTTAAAGGCTTGTTGTTTATTACTGATGGCATTAAATTCATTACAGTAATTATGAATTATTGGTAATTTACGTGTTCTTTATTTGAAAGCATACTTTTCATTAGAAGTTGACTTTATTGGTGAAGGCATTAACTTCTGAAATTCAGTATTGGAGTTGGTGTGTGTGTTTGGGTATATGTAAAAAGCTTAGATTGCTGCATTGCTGTAGCTCTGCCATCAGTGTAAAAGAATTTATCCTAGGGTGTCATGTCCAATTAATATTGCCTGACCTGGGTTAATGGAAAGGTATCCACTGGCTTGGGTGATTTTCCTTTTAAATGAAATCCCAAAGAAAGCATGACATGGTGTTCACAGAAGAACCACAGTTCAGGAGGGGATCCAGGAGCAGTAACTGTCAGCATTCATTTAAAAAACCTCCAAAATTGGCTGTCCTTTCAGTTTGTGTTAAGAATAGATCCTGAAGTTTTTCCAACTCTTCTTTCCAAATCCTTTTAGAGATGTTCCATGTGGCAGCAATATGTGTCTAAAATCCAACTATTTGTGTGCAGGCTTGGTATCAGAAATGCCTTATCCATTTTGAGTGGAAAACATGGATTTCATGTTACATGGCATTGGATTTGGAAAATGAAACAGCAACTGCTGCCTCCTCCTCCTCTCTTGAAAAGGGCATGGAGCTTCCTGATGGACAGGGGAAGGAATTCACCATTGGCAATGGATGGTGCTGATGCCCAGGAGTATTTTGCCTGTATAATTACCATGCTGAGGTTCCAGAGGAGGTGAGTGGAAGGTGCTGTCCTTGTCCTTGCTCTCCTCCCAGCCTCACAAAGCTGTCTTTTTCCTGGAGTTTTCTTAGGGAGACAGCTTGGACTAGTGAGCCTTCCTCTCCTTTTAACAGTAGGAAAAAGAAGGGGATGAAGAGAGAAATAATGTGTAGAAACTTCTCTCCACTCAGGGCTGGAATGCACAGGTATCCATGAAACCACTTTCATTTTTTATTTATTTTTGTGGGTATTGTAGGATGTGATATTGACTTCCATGAGGATCTCTGTGGGAAAAATGTCCTCTCTGGAGGAACCACCATGTGTATCCTGGGATTTGGGATCATATACAGAAGGAGAGGATAGTTTACCTCCAAGTACAATGAAGATTAAGGTGATTTTTTAACATTTTTATTGCTGCCAGTTCCATCTTAAGGTGATTTTTCCTTATTCAAATGGTCTCTTAATGGAAAAATCTGCAAAATCTGTCAAAAAGGGGTTTTTCAAAGCTCTGCTCTAGCTACCTAAAAGTGAGAGAGGTTGCTCTTACCTTCATTCCCACTTTTGAACAGCAGTCAGCTCAAATTCCTGGTATCCATGTCTTCTCAAGCAAATGGAAATCATCTTTTCCTCGGCCTCTGAGTGAATTTTACTTTATTATTCTTGTTTCAGTTTGTATGGCTGCTCAGGTTGTTGATAAGTTACCTTACATGTAGGAATAGCACTATTAGCTGGCCTTATCACCTGCCTGAGTATCATTAGTTACATTGCAGTCTTGACTTCTTGTAGGTGTGGTGGTCAGGAGCACCAACCCTGGTCCTCAGGTCCCTGCAATCAAGTTACATTTGCAGTCCCCACAGGATCAAAGCAAAATTCCATTCCATTTGCCAAGAATTTACTTGCCCTTTTTTCAGTATTAATGGTGAAGGATGTTCTTTAGGTTTTCAAATTTTAATTTGTGTTTTATACTAACTATTTTGTTACTTCCACAGTTGCTTCTTTTTAATTTGGCAATGAATTTCCATTAATTCTCAGAATTGCTTTAACAAGGAAAATTTGTCATCATCATTTGAATGTTATTCTTTCTAAATGGAAGAAAAATCTAGCCAATACAAGAATGCATTTCCACTCACACATTTTTTTCCTAAGGGGAAACACCTTCTTTTCTTAGGAGCAAATTGTAGATGAAAGCATGCATCCACATGAAAGTTACCTTACATATAAACCAGCCCAGGTGCAATGGCTTCTGTGGATGAAATTTATTAAATCCACTGAGATTTTAAATGGGAGCTTTGGAAGTGATTGCTGAGCCTTCAGCCTCCTCTAACTCTGCAATTCAGTTCTGCATTTCCCATCGGGGATGTTTTCCTGGTAAGTGATAAAAGATCTGAGGGAGACACTTGTCATCAGTTATGTCAAATGTCTTGATGTTCACTCATAAAATAGAGAGAGCAGTTTTTAAGGTTTCTTTTGGGGAGGTTTGCCTCCATTTTTGCTTCCAAGTTAAATGTTCCATCTGTGGTGAAATTTTCTTGGAGTTGGTGAACTCTCTACTGGGACTTTGCTGACATTTTAAGATCTCTAGATACAAGAAAATATGTTTTTTAAAAAAGCTTTGTGTTTTTGAGACACAAAATGGAAATGGAAAATCCTGAAACTAATCATTAACCATTCATTAAAATGGTTGTTAGTCATGTTAATTGGGGCTTCAAAGAAGAAATGACATTTGCTTTACTTCATGTGTAGAGAATAGGGAAGGAAGAGGGAAAAATATATAGTGGTGAAAGCAAATCACCTTGGTGGAAAACTTCTTGAGGTCACTGAGGACACCATGCTTGGGATAAACTGACCCCTTTTTCATTCTGGCAAACTTTTAATGAAAGAGGAAAAGGGCCTGGTGATCTTTTGCTGCAGAGGTTAATAATGGATGATCCTGATGAGCATTTCATGTAAAAAGCAAAGCCTGCAGATCTCATTACCTGGGCCTCCCGATTGTGCATTCCCATCCAACTAGAGGAGTGGAAAATACACCTGAGACAATTAAAAAAGGTTATAGTGGGCAGCATTCACATTTTGAGTCCACTCCCAGTGCTCTTCCCTTCTTAATAGGGATAGAAGAGGCCCCTGAGGTCATCCAGGCTGTCTGCCCTCACTGCTGGCTGAGACACGGGGCTGGCTGCACTGAAGGGTGAGAGCAAGATTTGAGTCTCACTTAATTGATTAGCAGTTGCTGTAACTCTAAAATGCTGAAATTCTGGATTGCCTGCATTCATTTTCAGTAAAGCTCTTGATTTCTCTGCAAATCTACAGCCAGAAAGTCTGGGCAGGATGCTGAACCTTGTCTAAAGTGTGACATTGTGGCCGAGTCTCCATCACACTGACCAGTGTGCAAAGCACAGAGTAGTGAAAACCACCCAAATTCCACGTCCCTCTGTGCTGGTTTAACAGAAAACAACAGTCCTGGCACAAAGAAGACCAGAACTGTAACGTGGTGACAACAAGCAGTGAAAGGTGCAAGCTTTGAGGTGAATTAAATTTGTGAAGGTGGAAGCCGAGCCCAGCGACGTGAGGAGCTGCTGTGGAGGAGAACGAGATTAACAGGGTAAAATATCTCCTGTTTAAGGTTGGCCCCAGGCAAGAATGAGTTTGTCAGTGTAATATGTTGTTGAATTTTAAAATGGAAATGTCTCCTGGCATGTATTTCAAACACACTACAAATAGTGATATTGATCTAACCTTCAATTAATGGGAGAGGTCCTCTGTGAAAATCGGATCTGGGTTTGAATGGCAAATAGCTTTAATATTCTGAGGACAGTGGATCATTTGCACAGCTCAGTAAGAGACTATAAATCATCAGGATTAGGGCTTTTTTTTTTATTATCATTTTAATGCAGGCTTGCTTTCCCTGGAGCAAGGGAGCAGGAGTGTGGTAAATCATTAAAAAATCATGGAGACGGTGTCAGTAGGTATGGACAACAAATAATCTCCTGGTGCTAAAAGGAATTATTTGAAATCCATTCATTCCTGCTCTCTGTTACCATGTTTTTTAGATATCTGCTCTCTTTTGGGATAGAATGAGCACTCTCCTTTTTGCTTTTACACAATCTATGGGTGTCTTTCCACTTTTGGTCCTCACAGAGCATCCATCCTAAAGGCCATTTTTTAGAGCAGTCTGTCGCAGAACCAAAGCTGATTATTCCTTGAATTGGGAGTAGCAAGATTATTCCTCATGGCTTCTTCCAGCTGTGTCTTCTGTACATTTTATGTGTGTGTGTTTGTATTTATGTATAAACCTTAGATTGCTTCATTGTTGCAGCCCTGCAGCAAAAAAAAAGAAAAAAAAAAGAAAAAAAAAAGAAAGAAAGAAAAACAAGAAAAAAAGCTGTTGGCAAATAACCCTTCTTAGCCAAGAAGTAACACATGGTTTCACTGAAGTTGATGCTGATATTGAGCAGTTTTCTAGAGTGCTGCTCATGATCAGGCTGTGAATTTAGCAGATTTACTCTTAATTGATTTCCTATCTGGCCCAGAAAAAACAATGTTCTTAAAAGGCTTGGAAGCCTCTAACTAAATCAGATAAGAATTTCAGCCAGTCCTGGCTTCCACTGCTCTGTGAAATGCCCAAGATCAACTTGAATGTGTGCAGTTCCCTGTCCAGCCAGCCTCTGTTAGGGATTGTCAGGAAGGATTTCCTTCTGGGAGCTCCTTCACTCTGGCTGTCCTGTAAAGAGCATTTTGCTGTGCAGGTTGCTCCCTAAATCAGCTGCTTGGCTCCCCCCCAGAGCTGCTGAATGAATGTGATGTGACCCAGGGATGCAAAGGGATTTCTCTCATTATCGGGGCTGGGATGCTGGGAGAACACAAAGATGGGTTTCCTAGACAACAGCTGATGTCACTGGGAGAAAGTACAGAGGCTGGGAGGGGAGTTTGTCAAGAGCAGGGATCAATTCAGGGGAAAAAAATTCTAATAGTGAAGTTAGAGATTTTTACAAAATATAAAACTCAGCAGAGAGACTTGTTTCTGAAGGCTGGGAAACAGCTCTCGGAGAAGAGAATTAGAAATAAAAATCCCTCACAAAGAAATGCAGTTTAAAACACAAGTGCATCACCTCCTGAAGTCTCTACATGCTGCAGCCTCAAAGTCACAATCCCCACTGAGCTTTTACCCCAAAATAAAACAATCCAGAATGTTAATCCTTCTGGAATAAACCCAGATGGCACCATGGACATGATTTAATTTGGATGAAGTTTTACTTCAAATTCCATGCAGGATAAATAAACCATCTCTCCTCTGCTCTGGATGTGCTCAGGGCAGGAAGGCTGCTGGTTAATATTTAAGTGGCATTCCTGATAGCAGAGTTCTGTGCATCAGCTTGACAAACCAGCTTCTGTGTGGCCCTGTGGTTCATGTCTGAAAAGCAGGTTAGAAACTTGGATGCATCATTCATTTTCATCAGCACTAGAGAAAGATTAAAGTTCCCTCATCTGACCACTTTAAAATTATTTAAAATATTATTTCTCTGTGCTTAAAATGTTAGTCCTTTGGGCTAACATTTGCTTTAGAGAGTTATTTTAGGATCCTCAAGCTTTTGAGGCTGCAGTTTCCCAGACTTCCAAGCTGAGTTGTTGGCTTGCTGCCATCAGCAGGGCAGGGGCTTTTCCTCCCCCTTCAGCACTTCTGCCATTCCTTCTGCCTGCCCTGGCCAAACAAAAGGGCTGCTTTTGTTCCATGTTGACTAATTAGCTTCCAGATGGGTTAGTGAGTGGAATTGTCTCGTGGATGGTCCTGGCAACCACCACAGCTGATGCCAAACAAAGTGGGAGACCAAGAGGGTGTTGGCTGCCCCTTCCATTGGCAGGATTTTATTGCATTGCCCTCTTGTTTTTTGGAGCTTCAGCATCAGGAGAGGGGGTGTGGTGTGCGCTGAGGAGCAGGAGTTCTCATCTGTGGCCAAAATTCAGTAACACCTCTTTCTGAAGGCTTGGATTAGCACTCTTGCATCATTTACCTGAGGGTTTTATAACCTTTTACAATAAATTCTCATGAATTAACTAGTATGGCAGGAAAAAGGAGGATGGGAACCATGGTCAATCAGCCTTGTCTCAGTCTTTAGAAAGATTAAGGAGCAATTCCTCAAGAAAACTCTCTACTGGCACATGAGGAGCATGAACTCCAAAGATCTCTTCCAGTCTAATTTTTTTCCTCATCTGTCATTGCTTTGCCTCTTTTACAAGTGTACAGTAACTTTGACCAGTGCTGATTTCAATTCTGTTTATTAGAAAAAGGAGGAATAGCAATAAACACCTCTGACTTTATTGCTTGCTTTGAATGACTTCTTTTCCTCTCTCAAAACTATTTCCTAGCCAAATATCACTCTGAGGCTCATGCTGGGCAAATATGTTGGTAAAGTTTGTTGGAATAAGAGCTTACATACATTCAGGGCTCTGGGACACTTCAGTTTATTGAGCTGCTTGCTGGACCAGTTTTCCTCCCCACTACCTGCTAGGTGATGTCACAGTTACAAAGAAATGGTGGAATAAATGAGCCAAATTTCTACTTTTTGCACTAAAAAAGTGTTCTTGCATTAAATCTTTACAGTTTCCTCCAAGAAAGCTTTGACCTCAGCAGGAGGGTAGCCTGAGGAAGGGAACAAAATTCAGCCTAGACTGTGTATTCAGTGAGGATTTATTTTGTGCTTTATGAACCTGGACTGAAGGCTTCTTAACAGATGTCAGAGACTTTACAGGGAGGAATTGTCTCATCTCCATGAGAAAAGCTTTCACCCTGGTTTTATTAGTGAGCTGTATCCATGCAAGGGAATTTTGCTGTAAATAGAGCTAAAAATGGGTGTCACAGTAACAGCTTCATCATGATTTTATTATCAGGGCAATGCACTCTTGGCATTTGCTTCTAATTCTTTTCATTGTGACTTTCTGTGCTCTGTCCCAGCAAAACATCAAGGCAGTGAAGTGCTGCTGCTCCTGGGCTTCTGTGCCCTGGCAAAAGCAGTGTCAAGGTTATTGTGGGAGTTGTATTTAAATTGGGAAGCATTTCAAAATGAGCACTGCTTCAAATGGTACTCCCTGCAAAACGTGAAGTGTCCAAAAGTAGCTTCCAAAGACACTTCTGAGTGCTGGAGAGATTATTGCCATTCCCCAAGCACAGGAATCTTAAGAGGCTTAACCAAAACCTGCAGGAGTTCATTGTGAGAACCCTGGGCTGCTGCCAGGAAAACTGAGCCATTTTTCTTTCTTATTTTTTTTATTTTTTCAATTTCATTGCCGAAATCTCATGGATTAAACAACAACAACGAAACAAAAACCAAAACCAAACCCACCCCAAACCAACAACAATAACAAAAAACCATCCCAAAAATAAAACAAACAAAAACCCCAAGCACAAAAGAATTAGTGGCTAAATGATTTCTATTGGCTATGCTGTCCAAGATACTCATTTGGAAACTGATTCTCAGAAGCTAAAATTATACTGGCATCATATTTAAAGCCCTGGGATTTGTCATGGTCAATAGAACTGAAATAAAAACAGTTGGCAGCAACCTTTCTTTCCTACAGAGGTATCCTATTAAAGTCTACTCAATTATACATCATTTATCAATCATAATGGTGTCATGGTTTTATTAATTAACTGCTAGGTTAAGTCAGACTAAACTTCATATCTCTCCAAACAAAAGGAGCTCTTTTATTATAACAAAAATCAATCTCACTTGTTAAACTTCTGCGTTAAAACACAGAAAGTCCTCTGCTGTTTTTGTTTTTCCTCCTACTACAGCTCAGCATTAACACAGAGCTTTTAGTCATTAACTAATACAGATGTTAATTAATTAATCATGCTTGCATAGTTCTCTATTAAATTGCCAGTCTACTAAAATGCATCCTTTCTGTTCCCTAAGGGTATTTGGTATTTCAGTGAGGTCTTCTGTTAATTTTCTCTTTTCCACAGCATGTTTAACCTTCTTTTGCTGTCATTTAGAGGCACTATTATCTCAGTTATCCTCTCTTGAACCTCCTGTGTTGTCCATTTTTTTTCCCTTGCTCTAATCAGAGCTGTGCAGTTGCCCCAGATTCTCTTCTGATTAAGTGTAAAAAGTCAGGAAAAAAACCTGAATCAGGGTTAACTCTACTAGAAGTCAGATTGTAGAATTCAGACCTGACTTCTGGTTC